GTAATCCAGCAGCAGGTCCGCAGCGGTGAGCAGCTTGGCGCGATGCTGCGGGTCCATGATGTTCAGCTCATTGAGGTGAGTCTCCCGCAGCTCCTTGAAGTCCTCCAGGGTCTGGTAGCCATTGAGGAGCAGGGTGGAGATGTGTTCCTGGGGGGACAGACCGTTCAGCACCCGGCAGAACGCACGGCCCGGGCCGCAGGGTCTATTTACCCTCCCCACCCCGCTGCCAGCCCGGGGGCTGCAGAAACCCCTGGCAAAGAGGAGCAGTGGGACCGCTGCCGGCAGGGCTCCAGCCGATGCTAGTCTATCCTGGCCTCAGCCGCACCGGGGTTAACTCTGGCCTGCCTACTGGACTGACGGGAGCATTCGTGGCTTGCAAGGCCAGGGGGCTCCCCTGTACAGCACAGGCCAGAGATGGCCCCAGAATAGTCCTTAGGGCAGGGCTCCTAGAAAAACAGCCGCTCTAGTTTGCAGTGTGCTCTGTAGAGGAGAACTGCGTTCTGCCACCATGCTCGGTGGCCGTGGTCCCCGGGATCGGCACAGCTGTACTGAAAGGTGAAGGGATGGGACATATCGTGGTCCCGGTGTTCGTTGCGGCTGTACTGAAAGGTGAAGGGATCAGAGGGGGCAGAGCTGTCATGGTCTTGGTGTTTGGTGCGGCTGTACTGAAAAGTGAAGGGATGGGACGGGACGGGGCGGGGCGGAGCTGTCGTGGTCCTGGTGTTTGGTTCATCTGTTCTGAAAGGTGAAGGGATTGGAGGGGATAGAGCTGTCGTGGTCCCGGTGTTCGGTGCGGCTGTACTATAAGGTGAGGGGATGGGACAGGACGAGATGGAGCTGTTCTGGTCCCAGTGTTCGGTACGGCTGTTCTGAAAGGTGAAGGGATCGGAGGGGGTAGAGCTGTCGTGGTCCTGGTGTTCGGTGTGGCTGTACTGAAAGGTGAGGGGATGGGACAGGACGGGACAGAGCTGACGTGGTCCTGGTGTTCGGTGCAGCTGTACTGAAAGGCGAGGGGACCGGACGGGGTGGAGCTGTCGTGGTCCTGGTGTTCGGTGTGGCTGTACTGAAAGGTGAGGGGATGGGACAGGACGGGACAGAGCTGACGTGGTCCTGGTGTTCGGTGCAGCTGTACTGAAAGGCGAGGGGACCGGACGGGGTAGAGCTGTCATGATCCCGGTGTTCGATGCGGCTGTACTGAAAGGCGAGGGGATGGGACAGGACAGGACAGAGCTGTCGTGGTCCCGGTGTTGGGTGCGGCTGTACTGAAAGGCAAGGGGACAGGACGGGGCGGAGCTGTCGTGGTCCCAGTGTTCGGTGTGGCTGTACTGAAAGGCAAGGGGACAGGACGGGGCGGAGCTGTCGTGGTCCCAGTGTTCGGTGTGGCTGTACTGAAAGGCAAGGGGACAGGACGGGGCGGAGCTGTCGTGGTCCCAGTGTTCGGTGTGGCTGTACTGAAAGGCAAGGGGATGGGACAGGAAGGGGTGGAGCTGACGTGGTCCCGGTGTTGGGTACGGCTGTACTGAAAGGCAAGGGGAGCGGAGGGGGCGGAGCTTTCGTGGTCCCGGTGTTGGGTACGGCTGTACTGAAAGGCGAGGGGAGTGGGGGGGCGGAGCTGTCGTGGTCCCGGTGTTCGGTGCGGCTGTACTGAAAGGCAAGGGAACAGGACGGGGCAGAGCTGTCATGGTCCCGGTGTTGGGTGCGGCTGTACTGAAAGGCAAGGGGACAGGACGGGGCGGAGCTGTCGTGGTCCCAGTGTTCGGTGTGGCTGTACTGAAAGGCAAGGGGATGGGACAGGAAGGGGTGGAGCTGACGTGGTCCCGGTGTTGGGTACGGCTGTACTGAAAGGCAAGGGGACAGGACGGGGCGGAGCTGTCGTGGTCCCAGTGTTCGGTGTGGCTGTACTGAAAGGCAAGGGGATGGGACAGGAAGGGGTGGAGCTGACGTGGTCCCGGTGTTGGGTACGGCTGTACTGAAAGGCAAGGGGAGCGGAGGGGGCGGAGCTTTCGTGGTCCCGGTGTTGGGTACGGCTGTACTGAAAGGCGAGGGGAGCGGAGGGGGCGGAGCTGTCATGGTCCTGGTGTTGGGTGCGGCTGTACTGAAAGGCAAGGGGACAGGACGGGGCGGAGCTGTCGTGGTCCCAGTGTTCGGTGTGGCTGTACTGAAAGGCAAGGGGATGGGACAGGAAGGGGTGGAGCTGACGTGGTCCCGGTGTTGGGTACGGCTGTACTGAAAGGCAAGGGGAGCGGAGGGGGCGGAGCTTTCGTGGTCCCGGTGTTGGGTACGGCTGTACTGAAAGGCGAGGGGAGTGGGGGGGCGGAGCTGTCGTGGTCCCGGTGTTCAGTGTGGCTGTACTGAAAGGCGAGGGGATGGGACAGGACGGTGCGGAGGTGTCGTGGTCCCGGTGTTAGGTGCGGCTGTACTGAAAGGCAAGGGGATGGGACAGGACGGTGCGGAGGTGTCGTGGTCCCGGGGTTGGGTACGGCTGGAATTAAACGCAAGGGGGGGGGGGGGG